TTTTTTCAAGTTTTTATTTTCTCGGCCTCAAATACGACCCCTCTCTCCCAGCGATCAAATATGACCCCGCTGTTGGGGAATCCCCAACAACGATGTGCCCTGTCCACAAGTCCAAGATGTGAACGTAATTTTCTGAAAGTATGCAGCAAACAGAGTAGTTTTCACTTTTAAAGCTCCTCCATCCGCTCGGGTCCGTGGCGCAACTCTGGTTAGGGGAAGAACAGATAAAGGAAAGTTGAGCATGTGATTCAATGCCGTTGGATTGAACAAAAAAATTATATAGTAATATAAATAATAAAATATAAAGAAATTTGGATTCGGAGCTGTTCATTCTTGTGAGAACATATGAAAGCGAAAAGACAGATAAAATTAAGATAAGCTGATTTGACCACAAACCTTTTCATCAGGTTTGCCAAAAATTCGATGCAGCTCCTCATTTATCTTAGGATCAATACGATGTTGTAGCAGTCTTGAACCTCTGAAAATGCCAACGTGGGCGCCGATAGTACCTAGGGCACTATAAGTAGCTTACTGGTATAGGAATGAACAGCTCTTCGGTGTTATCATGCCCAGCGCCACGAACAGAGGCGAGAATTTTTGATGACCTTCTACCAATGGGCGGATGAGCGCTTCCTGGAAGAGGAAATACAAGCACTCACTAAATCCAGAGCTTAATCAGACGTATGGCCGCAGAATAACATCCGATCCTACGGTCACAGTGAAGGCAGGGCACGCCATCGCGTTGGGATAAATTCCTGAAAAATACGACCCCCCTCCCCATGCTACCTACCACTTTCCTAGATTTTCCCAACTTCCTACCACTTTTTCCCATTTCCCGAAAAATTTCTGGTTTTTCCCCAAAATTTTGCTGTCGAGCGGGGAGGGGGGGGGTGGGGGTATATAAAACCAGTCAAAGGGGAAAACCGCAAAAAGCCAACAACCGGGAAAAGTTTTTTCCAACGCCGCAAATTCCTCTCAAAGACAATACGACCCCCCCCCCTCCCAACAACGACCAAATACGACCCCCCCCCCTTACAGCGTCCGTGAAACAAGAGAAATCAACTATCAAAAAAAATTTTTCTCTGACCAAATACGACCCCCCCCTCCCTCGCGGTCAAATACGACCCCCCCCTTGTGATTATCACAACGAGGCGTACCCTGACCATAAGTGAAGGGCTTCGCTGACCATAAGTGAAGGGCTTCCGTTGTAAAAATGAACTACCGAAATCATCGCTCCAACACTGTTTCCGCATTTCATGTTGAAGTTTGTTCGAAGGCAGCTCAAAGTGCATTCACCATATCTGAAGGTCATCAAAATAAGAATTAAAAATAAACAAAGGCCTGTAGCACATATAAAAGACCTACACGCAGGCTTGGTTGGTTACTTCTTGGAAGTCGCGGAACGAGTTCGAGTCTGTAAAGCATCAAATCACACAAAACCCTTCAGCTTTTTACAAATCATCAGCGATGCTTCTGTGGATTTTTCCAGAACAGATTCCATTCTGGGAGTCACATTCCTGGCTATGCAACAGGCGAGTCCCTTGTGAGTCTCGAAAAGAAAGCTGTGCAGCTGCAGAAACGCCATATCTTGGAGCTAGAGAGGGCGTGGCAGCGTAATACCCTTTGATGCAGCGGCAGTTGCTCTTTTGTTAGGATGCTGCTGTTTTGAAATGACTATAATCGTGGCTTTGTCCAACACGATACAGTATGACAGTTGTCAAAAGTGCGATTTTTCCCGCGAAAAATGAATCCTAAGCCATGCACAAATGAAGTCCGTAGCCACGCCCCTCACCTCTGAGGAAAGAGAGTGTGCAATCTATAGTTATTTCATAAGGCGTAAACTGTAAGCAGGCTCAACTGAACTGGAATGCGTCGTTGACTTCCTTTCACTTTCAGAATAACACTGCAATGCGATTTCTTTGGAGGATGTGGTGTAGCGGCAAGTAGCGCCATGCACAGAGCGCGGAGCCTCAAACGTTCGATCGCGTCTTGCTTGAACCAGGCAAGCCCTCGCTCCGGGCCCAGTAGAATGGAATAGGACTGGTCTAGGACGTTGAAAATTCTGATTTAGGCACTAGTTGGTCCTAGCCAAGTCACTGTAAACGCTTGCTTGGACGGATTCAAGAAGCCGCTAATAATTCGAATTAGTGTAGAATGCGTGCCGCATATGAAAAGTGACTGAGGAGAGCTGTTTTTACCCGTTATCTACAATCTTTACTAACTCTACGGAAAATCACCGCAGTATCCGAAAGTAAAAAGGAGCGTCGCCGCGACGGCTGCGCATTCTAATGCTGTCCTTCCCCTCTTACACATACAACCCTGACCTTTTTCATTCCGGGCCCTCGCAGCCGCGTCGGCAGCTACACGTAGTGCATAACGGTGCGAAGCGACGGAGTGGCGTTTAATGAGTGGTCGGTCCGGGCACCCACTTCACCTTTGGGCAGCGTTCATACTTCGCGACAGCAGCGGCGATCGCGGCAATCGTCGGTGTGCGCCCGAGCGCGCCATAATTAGGCTTAACTGTAGTTTTTTTTTCCTTCAACCGCAACAATTTCAGGTACTAAAGCTTGTTCTGACTCATTCTATTTCCTTTTCGATTTAGGATCAAAACGAGCAAAAAGCTCGAAAGCTTCGTTCGGGGTAGTTTCCTATTGTTTTTTTTATCTTTGAGCTTATACATGAAGTTATAAAGTTTCCTCCTCCTTGATGTTGCATTGAAGAGTGATTGTCCTCAATTTCTAGGTGATTTTCTTTCAGTTCCTTTTTGTTATTGTGAACTCGAATTGTGAACTAAAATCGTTTTAGAAGTTGGAAAAGTTTAGCCAATAGGAGATTTTCAAGACATTTATATCAATTGAAACAATGAACACAGAAGAAACAAAAATAAACTCATCTAGAGAATGAAGTTGCTCTCATCCCGGAGCTCAAAAGAAGGAGAACCTTCCCTTTCTCATATTCCAGAGTCTCTTGAATACAGAAAGTCGTAAGTTTCCAGTTAGTGGCCACTATCAAGAAAAGTTCCTTATTTATTGAAGCGAGCGGTCCAAGTAATAGCACTGAGTCGCCGACGATAGCTACTATCGCCGCCATCGCTGCTGCTGTCGCGAAGTATGAACGCTGCCTTAGAGAAAGCTGCGCGTGCGCTCATCCCTCTGTTAGAACTGCCGCGTAGTCTCGCATCATTATGCTTTATGCGTCCCTTTTTTCTTTAAGATATGTTCTCTATACAAAGAGCCAACTAACCTAGGCCACTTTCTGCCTGTAGATTGTGTAGATCGTGTCCAGGAGGGAGCTGTCTCAGATTGACCGACGCTGCATTCTCTCCAAACGCTGGTACGTGACTGTTCGCTGATCGTAGCATAGTCATCGCTTGGACCTAGTAGGATTATATTCAGGGTT